CAACTCTGCTTCCTAGTCTGGACCCTGGATTGTCAATAAGTTCTGTGGTCAACAAAGTCAGCTAAATTCTTAGAGGAGAGCAGCTCCAGTCAGGGTGGGATGGTTGCCATCTCTCTGCATCAGACCAGGTTTCCCCCAGAAAGAACTCCAGTTATCCACGTAACCGATGTTGTTTTCAGAACACCACTTAGATGCCCAGCGGTTAAATGAAAACATACAGTACGACCAAACATGTCATCACTAGTCAGGTTAGGTAGGGCGCCAGAAAAAACTACAGAGTCTGACATAGTCTTTGCAAAGTTACAGACCGAAGCAACGTTAATTTTAGTAACCTCCGATTGACGTAACCGAGTGTCATTAACATCGACGTGAATCACGACCATACTGTACCTAGGATTAGCATTAGCCTGTAGCTTAAGATAGTATTCTATATCGCCCGCTCTAGCTCCTGGAATGCATTTAATCATGGCCGTTGGAGTCCCTAGATCCACGTTACGGACTATGGAGCTGCCAATAACCAGCGTCTGTTTCTCGACCAAAGTGTCGCTGAGTGGGGAGAAGCAATTTGAAACATGAACGGGTTGACGGTCGGGAGGTTTAGCTTTAGCACCGCGCTTATTCCGAGCTGTCCCCAGCTACTGGCCCTGGGTGCTGGCCTCATGGGCTCCACCGAGGGACCGCTAAAAGGAGAGGTGGAATTTTTGGTGAATGATTTGTATTTTCTGGTTATTTTTTCATTAATTATACACACATGTACAAAATAATTCAAATCAGACATTTCCACAAATATCCATCCATCCATATTCCTTTCAAGGTCGTGCGGGTCACTGGTGCCCATTTCCAGCAGTCACAGTGCAAGGGGTGGGGTACACCCNCTTCTTCCTTTTCAGGGTCGCGTGGGTCACTGGTGCCCATTTCCAGCAGTCACAGTGCGAGGGGTGGGGTACACCCTGGACAGGTTGCAAGTCCTTCACAGATGTCCACAAATACACAGGGAAAATTTGTGCAATTTGACAGCTAATTTGGCTTTAAGCTGATGTATACCACTTTTTCTTGAATTACATTGTTTATATTTTTCCTAAATTTACATTTTTTAAAGACTTGTATTAATGTTTTGATGCAGAAATACAAATACTTGTAAGAGTTTTAAGAACTACCTTTTTTAGTGACTTTGTCATGTTTGTCAGTGTTTTCTTTTTTCCTACGGAAAACACTCTACCCRTTGTTGCTTTGGTATTTGATCACTTTAATCTCTATTCAACAAGCATCCTTTAGTTTTCTTTTTTTTATTATCACAGCACTATCATCACCACTACAGCCACAGTGAGGATTACCACACAGAAAGTAGCCGTGGCTCCGATCTGTCTGACATAATGGAGGAGGATGAGGAAGATCTTTACTCTGAGATGCAGCTGGAGGAGGGCCGCAGACGCAGCATTAACTCTCACAGCACCCTAAAGGTACACACCTAACTGCAAGCCTGCAGGAGCCAGGTGGCGGATAAAGGAATGGGGTGGGGGTTAATTGAGGTTTAGTGCGGTTTGAATCCACCACCTGCAGAGGAACCTGTTACTTATCTCATGTTTCACAACCAGGCCAGTCAGTTGCTTTGCCTGGCTGAACTCCCATGCCTCGTGTTAGCCCAGCCTGCTTCTCCAACCCCCTCAACCCACAAAGCCCCCCGCTGCTTTGTTCATTCTGGGCTGACCCCATGGGAATGGCTGTTTGTAAATGTAGAAAAAAAAGTAATGCATGTAAGAAAACAAGGCTGTAAAACTMGAAGCTTAACATTTTCATGGTTTGCTTATCATTTTAAGACTGACTATGTTAATGAGATGTTCAAAAATTAAATGTCAATGCAAATGTCTACTATACTGTGTCAGGATCATGGCATATCAAGTGCATATGGGAATCTCATTTAAGTGAGTACTTAAATGAAAGTTTTCACTTTTGTTTATGTCTGTCACGTCTGATTTAATGTTTACATTGTTTGCACATGATCATGTCTTCATTGGGTTTGTCAGTGAGACAGACAGTCTAAAGCAGAGATTCTTAATCTATGGGCCGCGGCCCACAGAGKGCCACCTTGAGGGCCTCAAAAGAACAACAGRTTTGAACTTTGGGCCYCAGAGGGCRYTGGGACCGCATTGATTTTAAATAAGATGCAATACACTTTCTCACCACTAGTYGCAGTAGTGCACCACTCAGTTGTTTAACAACATTTTTAATATGTAGAAGACGAACCTTAGAACCCTGCCGAGAATGGAAACTTATTTTAAATGAAAAGTAGAAGCAAAAATGAAAGTAACTCATCAAAAAACACCAAAGTTTGTCACTAATATGAAGTG